CCTGGCCTGACGGGGCCGGGCTCAACAGCGATCGTCTCGGGGCGGGACGGTCAGCTGGAGTCTGGGCCGGAGTCGTTCGGCTGCCTCACGGCTGTCAATCACAGCCCGGCACGCTGTCGTCCCGACAGCCAGCTCCTGGCTCATCCACTCAGAGACCAGGACCAATTGGCCATCCAGTTGGTTGCACAGATCTGCAAGCAGACGCCAGAAGCGTCCATTCCTTCTTCCCCGGTCTATTCTGCACCTATTTGTCAGTAAGGTTGTGGTGCCTCCTCCCCGCGTTCTAGACGGCATGCTGTACAAAAGAATCCCTGTCACTGCCCTCAAGGGTCAACGTATTCTATTTTCTGTCCTCCATTTATGGATCTTCTCCCGAGAGTCTGGGACTGGGTTAGGTATTTCTAAAAATGATCTAGCTTAATCCTAACCAAACCCGACAAGGGAAGGCTTTCTTACTAACCCTATCCTTAACAGGTGAAGAAACACCTCTGCCTCATTTGACCCAAAGGTATCTGTTTTGGGGTGAGTCTGCCTTGAATAACTGCTCCCAATCCTCCCTCCAAAAACAAGAAACTACTCTGTAATCTGTTCAGAGTTTTGTCCCGAGTGTCATCCGTGTATCAGTCTTCAGCTGTTTGCTGGGAATACTCATGTGAGCCAAGATGTATTTCCTGCCTTCAGAAGTAGAGGGAAAATATGGAAGGCTCTGCATATACAGCTAGCTGCCTGTGTGGATTATTGATTGGAATCAGGGAAGGGCTCTCTTTTGTCAGAGTAGCCTTTTCCTTGTGTTTGTCTCAGTCATTAAATATCATACAAACCCCTCCTCTCAAGCTGGTGGCAGAACAGATTTAAAATCCACCCACCCACAAGATAGGCTGCAAACTCTAAAGTCTGTAAAGTGAGCTGGGCACAGTGGCTCCCCCTTGTAATCCCAGAACTTTGGGAGGCTGAGGTGAGAGGATTGCTTGAGCCCAGGAGTTCGAGACCAACCTGGGCAGCAAAGCGGGACCCTGTCTCTATAAAAAATAGGAAAATTAGCTGGACCTGGCGCCGTGGCTCAAGTCTGTAATCCCAGCACTTTGGGAGGTAGAGGAGAGAATTGCCTGAGCTCAGGGGTTCAAGACCAGCCTGAGCAACATGGCAGGAGCTCACCTCTACAATGAATCAGAAAATTAGCTGGGCGTGGTAGCACATGCCTGTGGTTCCATCTACTTGGAAGGCTGAGGCAGAAGGATCACCTGAGCCCGGCAGGTCGAGGCTGCGCTGGCCATGAGTATGCCACTGTACTCCAGCCTGGTTGACAGAGTGAGACTCTGACTCAAGAAAAAAGAAAAATTAGCCGGGTGTGGTGGCACATGCCTGTAGTCCCAACTACTCAGGAGGCTGAGGCAGGAAGATCTCCTAAACCCGGGAGTTAGAGGCTGTGGTGAGCCGAGATCCTGCCACTACACTCCACCCTGGACAGTAGAGTGAGACCCTGACTCAAAATAAATAAAGTCTGTAAGGTAGATTTAGGTCTTGTGGGGCCTGAAACTTTAATAATTTGGGATGCCCTCTTTAGGAAAAAGATTGCAAAATGGCCCTGTGAACACACTGCTAGGGCATTGGAAAGGGTCCCTGTAAGTGAGACACTCTCAAAGCTTAAGATTGGTTAGCTTCAGGGTAAATCTGCCCCTGCGTTTTATACACACACACACACACATTTGGCCATAGGCCCTCTTCTACAGAGCTAAGTTTCTGGGTATAGGAACCTTGTCTGTAATTCATCTCTGCAGTCTCCTCAGTCTGATATGGTATTAGAATATACCTGAGGATAGCATTCTCATACATAACTGGTGGGAAGACAAAATGTTGTAACTTATCAAGGAAATTTTGCAACATATGGCCACATTACTTAAGTATTTACCTTTTGACCCGGTAACATCCTAGACTTCTTTTTGTTATTTATTTATTTATTTATTTATTTTTGAGTCAGAGTCTTACTCTGTCACCCAGGCTGGAGTACAGTGGCATGCTCACGGCTACTGCAGCCTCAACCTGCTGGATTCAGGTGATCCTTACAGCTCAGCCTCCCAAGTAGCTGGAACTACAGATGTGTGCCACCATGCCCAGCTAATTTTTTTTTTTTGAGTAGGTGTCTTACTCTGTCGCCCATGCTGGAGTGCAGTAGCACACTTATGACCACCCTAGCCTTGACCTGCTGGGCTTAGGTGATCCTTTTGCCTCAGCCTTCCAAGTAGCTGGAACTACAAGCATGTGCCACCACGCCTGGCTAGTTTTTTTATTTATTTATTGTAGAGACGAGGTCTTTCCAGTTTCCCTAGGCTGGTCTCGAACCTGTGGGCTCAGGCAATCCTCTCACGTCAGCCTCCCAAAGTGCTGGGATTGCAGGCATAAGCCACTATGCCTGGCGCCTTTTTTTTTTTTTTTTTTTGAGTCAGAATCTCACCTTGTTGCTCAGGCTGGAATGCAGTGGCATGCTCACAACCACTGCAGCCTCGACCTGCTGGGCTCAGGCAATCCTTCCACCTCAACCTTCCAAGTAGCTGGAACTACAGGCGTGCGCCACTATGCCTGGCTAATTTTTTTATTTATTGTAGAGACGAGGTCTTGCCATGTTCCCCAGGTTGGTCTCCAACCCCTGGGCTCAGGCAATCCTCTCACCTTCGCCTCCCAAAGTGTTGAGATTACAGGCATGAGCCACCACACCTGGCCAAATACTAGACTTCTAGGAATCTATCCTAGTGATACACTGGCAAAAAGCTGAATATACAAGGCTATTAATTGTGGCATTAATGAATAGCAAAAGATTTGGAGCTGCTCACATGTCTAATAATACAGAACTGGTTGAATAAATTATAGTACATACACAGGATGAAGCACTATGTGCCTAAAAAGGTATGTGAAAGATTTCTTATGTATACCAATAAACATATACTAATATTGAGTGATGCCCATATATATTGTTAAATAAACAAGGTGTATACTAGTGTTTGTAGTATGCTAACTTCTGTTTGAGTAATGGAGAGATATAAATATGTATTAATTACTTACATTTAAAAGATAAACACTGGAAGAATAAACCCCACACTTCTAAAAATGGTTGTCTGTATGGGATGGGAGGGGATAGGGATGGAAATCTGTGAATGTTTGCATTTATAAGACATGGTTCAGTAAAAAGAATAAAGCACTTCATAAAAACTAAAAACAGCCGAGTGCAGTGTCTCACACCTGGAATCTCAGCACTTTGGGAGACAGTGGCAGGAGGATTGATTGCCTGAGTCCAGGGATTTGAGACCAACCTGGGCAATTTGGTGAGACCTTGTCTTTACAATAAATCAAAAAATTAGCCAGGTATGGTGGTGTGCGCCTATAGTTCCATCTACTTGGAAGGCTGAGGTGGAAGGATCACCTGAGCCCAGCAGGTTGAGCTACAGTGGCCATGAGCGTGCCACTGCACTCCAGCCTGGGCAACAGAGTGAGACTCCTATTCAAATAAATAAACAAAGAGCGAAAGGAAATGAACCATCTGTAATGTCAGATTGGTGGCATAACCACACAAAAAATTATTTCTTTTTAAAAAATTATTTATTTATTTATTTATTTGAGTTGGAGTCTCACTCTGTTGCCCAGGCTGGAGTACAGTGGCATACTCACAACCACCGCAGCCTTGACCTGCTGGGCTCAGATGATCCTTCCACCTCAGCCTTCCAGATAGCTGGACCTACAGGCATTCACCATCACACCTGGCTAATTTTTTTGTTGATTTATTGTAGAGATGGGGTCTTGCCAAGTTGCCTGGGCCATTTTTAAATTTTTTGTGAAGACGAATTCTAACTGCTGCCCAGGCTGATCTAAAACTCTGGGGCTCAATCAATCTTCCTGCCTTGGATTCCCAAAGTGCTGAGATTACCGGAGTAAGCCATGGCTCCCGGCCAAGAAAATCATTTCAAGTTTTTTTTTTTTCAGTAGTTTGACTGTACCTTTCTAATGGGATTTAGACTAAGGACAACTAAAACTACTAGAAGTACAATTGTACTCATTCATCTTATTGTTAGGAATATTTATATTGCTATTTTGAAACTCTGTAATTATAAGATAAAGCAAATAATTATGTTCATGGCATTAGGAACCAAGATTTTCCAGTGTAAGAGAAAGTGTTGTAAGTGTAAAAAAAGCCTAGGTCTCTCTGGTCTTAACTGCAGAAGCGAGATGAGGAAGAGAACATCATTGTTTGGAAAGCGTCACAAAAAGAAGCTCACACTGTGCCACCGTTATGGCTCTACCACCTTCAGAAGTCGACCTGTGGCAAATGTGGGTATCATGCCAAGTGTAAGAGAAAGTATAACTGCAGTACCAAGGCTAAAAGACAAAAACCATCAGGATTGGTCAGATGAGGCACCTAAAAATTGTATCCCGCAGATTCAGGCATGGATTCCACGACAGGACAACACCCAAGTAGACAGCTGTTGCAGCATCCAGTTCATCTTAAGAATTTCTACAAACTAGTTCACGCCTGTAGTTCCGCCTACTTGGAAGACTGAGGCAGACGGATCGCTGGAGTCCAGCAGGTCAAGGCTGTGGTGGCCAGGAACGTCCACTACACTTCAGTTTGGGTGACAGAGTGAGACTCCAACTGAAAAAAAAAAAAAAATTCTACAATTAGTCACACGATACATGTTCTGGTTTTAAAAACATAAAAAAAAAAAAGAAAGAAACTTAGGATAAATATAGATCTAAATTAGATAGCAGTATGAAGTATGTGTTTTTCTTTTAAAAATATATTTTTGGGTTGGGCTCAGTGGCTCAGCCTGTAATCTCAGCACTTTGGGAGGCCAAGGTGAATGGATTGCCTGAGCTTGTGAGTTTGAGACCAGCCCAGGCAATGTGGTGAGAGCTTGTATCTACAATAAATAAAAAATTAGCCGGGTGTG